CAATTATTGCGGAAGCTAACGATTTCTGCTCGAGCTCCCTCTTTTCTGAGCCGGAGTTGTTGATTACCGAGGATAACGTGAGCTCTCTTCTTTGAATGCCCGAGCGGACGGATACCTGAACGCTGATCGCGAATCAACATCTCAAAACAAACAGATTAACACAGATGATTGGGGATGGAACCTCGCACCCGATAAGACCGCGCCGCCGTGAGCGCCGGCATCCGGAGTCGGCTCGACCGAGGGGCGTACCTCGGATGATTTTCACGTCATCCACATACTCACTCGGCGAATCGAATTTGCCGAGACTCGATCCCTGTATCTCATTCAGCTGTGGTAGAGGCCAATCGATCCCCATGGAACCGAACACTGTAGGCAGAAGAGCAGCAAAGACATGGGGTCCTCAGCATAGATTTCTCGGATTTTTCGGTCGTAGTCGAAACTCCATGCTACAAGGTGCAGAGATCAAACGATTCCACTCTGACACAGACAGATAAATTGCACGAGCGACAACGTCTTCCTTCAATGATCCGGGCCGGGAGATACTCCGACGAATATGCCAACAATGAGCTTTCTGGATTCCAACTTAGCACTGGCTTCTTGATAGCTATCACCAGAAAATTCCCTCACAAGAAGGCTGTTTCACTGTAGAAGTCTGAATATTTGCGCGACCAAACAAAGAATCTATCGACGGTTACCGAGCTTTTAATCAGAAGATCGACTGCTTAGTCGCCCGCAAGCTAGTTTGAAAAATCGATCGGTTCGTGGGGTGTTTCGCGTGAATGTATTTTCACTGCGCTGCACGATCTATGACTCCAGAAGGGGCGGGGTACACCGTCCACCTCTGTACGGTCGATATCTAGATTTTTCTTGCAAAGCTCAATGTAATCTGTTTGTACCGTTTGCCGAACTTCAACCACTGTCCGTTTAGTCCCTGCTAGGGGTCCGGACACCGACAGCTGTTATTTACGCAGTTGCTTATTCCGAACGAAAAAAGCGATCCTCATATCCGCGAGGAAAGAAAAACAATCGTCATGGGCTTCCTCTTCGGTTCCATTTGCGACGCCGACGACATCGAATGGTGCTCCTCGAGACGTCATTTTCGCCCGCCGGTGGTAGTCACCTAGTGAGAATGTTGGCAAAGTGACAAGCGAACCGCCCGGCAGGCGCACGATTCGATCGACAGAAAACCCGGCATCGTCTTTCGGAAGTTGACTTTCAATTTCACTCTGGCGGCAGATCCCACATGTGAAACAGAGGTGCCGTCCCAGAAATATTTGAGTTGCGTCCTCTTTTGTTTTCGGAGGCCGACGGCCTACGCTGAAATCGAATTCCTCCTAGCTGTGGCTTGCTCCGGTGAGGGGATGCTCCGCATAAGACTTGTTCTCTCCTCATCGCTGAAAAGCTCGCTTTATCAGGGAATGATTGTACGATATCAACAGCGATCGACGGTGACTCCATTGATTTTAGGCGAGGAACTGAAACGCATTGTCACCTTCGGACCAAGCGTCCCTAATGTGGAGCATTCACGAAACCCAGATAAGCCGCGAATACTTCTGCGAAAATTACTCGTCAGCCTTCCATCATTAAAAGGCCTCAACAGGCAATCGTGTGTCCGATTGTTCAAAGTTTTATTGTTGTACGATCTGATAGAACGTTCTTTGGAAAACGCCATCATGATCGTTGCGGCTGCCTCTGGGATACGCGCATCGGACGTGATCGAAGCTTTTTTAATGGTTTGCTGGAGGCCGAAAACATCACAACGACATCGAACCTGTTCGTGGAACGGCATGTAGCCTACTGGAAGATAGGTACTAGTAGATTCCACGACGTCAATGAACCCAAACATGGCGGCTATCGGCTCTCGTACGCGACGAGACATCTACCTTGCTCTCCAGGGTTCTAGGGAAACCTCGCCATGAAACTGGCAGTAGGAGGTTTCGAATGAAGAAACATACAGCGGGGACATTGGGAGCGAAAACGCCATCCTGGAGTCGTGACGACATCTGGCTACAGCAAGACCGGGTGGTCTGACAAGTCGGTCAACCCCCACTCGATATCCGTGCTTCTCAATCAGTCAGTCAATCAATCATTCCTACATATCATCGATCGATCGATTCATCTGACAGCCGAATCGTCATCGACCGAAATCCTTCGATTTGTGGTCATTCAAGTAGCGTTTTGTTTCCAGTCTGCAGAGGCCAAAAATCGACCCAATCTGGAATTCGTCGTCGCCGTCATTATCGGTCTTGAAATGCTCGCCTTTCCATTATCGGTCCATGACATTGTCCTCGATCGCTGGAATAAATTTGCAAGTCAGTCGGCGCCTTGTGCCTGCAAAAGTCCAGCTCAGGGGATCCGCCTCGGGGGAGCGTTTTGCTTTTACTGCGAGAACGTCCCAGATGAATCTCTGCAGGACTCGGAGACTCGAGTTCTCTCACTCGCGGTCGCTCCTCGACACTTGGTGAAGTACTACTTCTCCTTGCCAAAAAAGACCCCCGCGGCTCGCGGTACGCTGAATACACTCGCCTCATTCTCACACAAGCACGCCTGGTCATTGTATCGGAAATTATCGAAGACTGAATAAAAGACGATCCGCGGACGACGAGCGGCGCTTACGCTTTTTGGAGACAAAAACCTCGCACGCAATCAACACATTAGGCGACACTCCACATCGAATGAACGCTGATTATGAGCGTGAGGAATCTGATCCCCTCGGGCAGCATCGTGGATATCTCCAGTATTTTTTTTCACTCTTCCGTTCATGTTCTCATCGGATAACGCTCTCTCATTATTTGGATACCAGCCGAAGAACGATCGCATTCCAACCGACCGGATCTCTCGGATCGGTCGTCACGCCGAAAGTTCAATAGAGAGGCCACAGTGGCGGCCCTTCAAGATAGTTCATGGGTGTTTTGCCGCCCGATCCACACACCCGGAGCTCCTCTGCCGAGAGCCGTCCTGAGCGGCGCGGGTCGACGACAACGAAGACAACGCAGCCCTAACTTCCAGCCCGTAGGTTTTCCCATCGACTGCTATGGACTCACCCGTTCAAATTAACCTTATTCGTTATCAGCACGAGCCCTGCGAAAAGAGCGATATTCTTCTTCTCGTTGCTTCTCTCGTGTCAGCGGGCTGGGTTTGTTACGGTCGAGCGGTCAATGACGTTCGGCACGACCGGAATGAACGGGGTGAAGGCGCTAATAACGCGAGCGACATTCCCAACCACTCCACCAGGAGCCAGTGCTCCGCGAGCGCCTGACAACAATCCGTGAACTCATTGCCCGGTCGAGGTTGACTACAGATTTCATCTTCATTTTTTCTTGGTCCTCCCAATCGTATACGAATGGGTTCCTTATCGGGCTGATTGGAAAAAATCATTTTCACTCAAGTGTATTCCTGAGGCGTATTATACCGAAGTCCTGAAGTTTCGCTTCGGAATCGACCTTTATTCCGACACCATGGAAGCGTCGGAGTCCGTATCAATGTACGCGTAGTCTCTGTTGCGTGTCAATATGGTCTGTGCAGACATGGTCATTCATTCATGATTGCGTGCCGCTCAAGTGCGTCACGGAATGGGTTCATTCGCAATTCTCGACATGACCTTAAGGTATTTGTATCTTGCCATGAGTCGCGCCGTACAGGAGAGGAACCACAATCGGATGGCTCAAAATTCTCGGAAACCCCCGACTGATCCTCGATCGTCGTGTTACATATGCAGCATGCGACGTGAGGTGACACTTCCCTCCTCCATTATCCCGGTCCTCCTGCTTCTCCATAGATGACGGGGCTCTCGTGACTCGGGGACTCTCTCGACTCCACCTAGTTTTCCTTCTCTCACGAAAACGCTCGAAAAGGCCAGAGCTTGAGTCCCTCTCGTATCTCTCTAGAGCAGGTTTACGTTCGCGTCGACGACACTCAGTTCGTCGCGGACTCGATGCCTGTTCACTCGTTCGTTTGCTCCGCTCGGTGGAATATTTATTACGAAATTCTCGTGGGGCCTGCTCGGCGGGCTTGAAGAGCGAGCGAGCCGACTCACTGATCCGTTATGCAGACTACATCTGAACTGTCACTCAACGACCCCGCGGATGCCAGGAATCAGAGACTCGAGAGGGGACATGTGCCTCCACGACTGGACGACTTGTGCATACTCATGTACCCTTGGGCAGTGCGAACGTCGCAGCTTCCGCGTCAGAGGAATCCAATCTAATTTCTAGTATCGGCAACAGCCTCCTGACTCGAGGTTCGACTTGCCAAAGTGCAGGGAATACGGCTATTGCTGTGGAGACCAACTCCCTCGAGAGGAGAAGAAACTCCAGCTCGCTTGCGGTGCCTAGCTATCCATCGGGCAGGTGGCGCGTTCAGACGCCTCGCGAGACTCGTTCGCGATGGATTTCTCAGAGTCCTAGGAGACCTCTGTTTTCTCGACGTTCCCCCGTAGTCAGCTGCTGAAGAGTTGTTCGTGTGGAATTTTTGGCGGGCACAGAAAAGCTGAAAGTGAAGTATGAAGATGTGGATTTCGCCGTGGAGACATTTTTGGAGCATTCTTCTCCGAGCTTCGAAAGAAAAACAATTCGCCAGCTTCCTTCACACCTACCTGGTGCTGCGTTCCGTTGTCTACGGAGATCCTGTGAGTGGTGCTGATTACCTGGAGAAATGGCGCAACCTACGACGGTCCGACCGAAAGACCGATTCAATGACGGTCCCACTAGCGTGTGAGAGCGCAAAAATAGCGTCGGCATTCGAAGAGCAGTGATGAACGACCACGGCCAAGGAATGATGCGGGAGGAATAATTTCTGGGTTGACTTTCGCAGTCTGTTTGCGTTTATATTTTCGTCGGGGCGTTCGATTCTTCAAAGATTCGTACTGACGACTGAATACGCAGCTATACGAGGGTGCCGTGACAGTTCTGTCGATGAGTTCGACAGCTGATCGTTCTTACTCTCTCAGATGCCATGAATAATTTGCTCGAGCTCCTCTGATAACCGACATTTTTTTGCAGGGCGGCGACGATGAGCAAGAAGAAATGCGAGTCCGTTTCGAAGCCGAGGGCTTTCGATCGGAAGAACTCACGGATGCCAAGAAACTACTGCACGTTTGGAGATGGCTGGTCGATTCGGAAACGAATTGCACGTCGTTGCGGAACCAACTCGATAAGCTCCATAAGCAGCAGAGCGCCGAGATGAAGGTGAGGCGTCTCGCCGGATCCGGAGAGTCCCATCCTGAGTTCGATAATATTACAAGCTCTTGGTTCCGATTCGGAGAGAAAGCGAATAACTAGACTCGTCATGTCTCTTGTCAGGAAGTGGAATCCTACATCGAACACATCCAATCGCTGTTCGAAGAGAAGGTTTCACGGGTCCAATTCGATAACCGGGCTTTGCGCCGCGAACTGGAGCAAAAAGTTCCGTCGGATCTGACCGTCTCAGAGATCCGGCGACTGCTGCAACAAGAGGGTCTCGCAGACAGCTCCACTCCGATGACACTGGCGGAACAAGTGAGCATTTTCGATCATCGAGCTTCCTCTCCATTTCGAGATGGCAGTCTCTCCTGGAGACCTCTTATTAATGAGCGACTCATCTTCTCCCCGTGGCTGAAATGGCGCAAGGCTCCAAATTCTTACCATTGTGTCTCCCGCCAGGTGGCATTTGTTCTTACCGAGAGAACGCGTCTCAAAGAAGAGCTCGATCGTCAGCGGGAGCGAGAATTGCGGCTCGAGGAAAACCGAAAACTCTACAACAACCTACCCGAGTCGATGAAATTGTCCGCGACCACCTCGACGGCCGACGACAACAATTTCTCCGACGACGACCCGTGAGTAATGAATTCGGTAGCGGCGTACATTTGGCTGAAGAATGTCGAGCGATGAAAGGTTCTCCGAACGCCTTCCAAGAAGACAGGAGAGCGAATACTGATTCACTCAGAGGAGATGTCGATAGTTATTGGCGTTTTTCGGGAATCGAATGACTCGACGAAGGAGATCGGTCTAACTGATAGCCCGGCGGGAATGAAATGAACGCGCACACCGAAACATTTCAAGGGTCCCGGAATGATGAATGGACAGTCTTACGGACCGTTCCCGCTCCCGAAAGAATATCGAATTCACCCTCGAACAGCAGAAATTCTCGACGGAACCGAATCCATCGATGAACAGACAGAGAGAGCCTCACACCGTTTCTCGGCGGTTCCGTCCGAAGAAGCAGCGATAAGGGAGGTGGACGAGGCTAGGCGGCTTTCTCGAGACTGCGGGGATTTCTTTGTGTTGAACTCGGAGAGCTCAATGCTCGCTGATAGGCTTGGACAAGTCGGATATCTTCTGAGTCCTCAGCGGTTCCTCGCGCGGGGAGCGAGGAATTCCGCTGAGCTGCCAAGCTGGGACGCTTTCCAAAGGCGTCTCAGTCCGATATGCTTGTCGTTCCGCTCTCTGAGGACGGCGTAATTGATTTCGTTTCCGCTTCTAACCCCAGCGATGTTCAGCTTGTGATGATTCACGGGGAGCAAAGTTTCATAGCGCTGCTCCTCCGTTGAGTACATCGCCGACTGGAACTACCTATGAAGGAATAATCTGAAAGATTTAGGAGTGACAGACTCCGCCTACGGAGAGCAACCGTAGGGAAGTCGACCGGACACTGGCGTAATTGCCGAAGGGAATCTGGAGATATTGCATGAGCCAGGAATTATCCTCTCGTACTTTTCCAGGAGCAGCGACGAGGGCGATTACGCGAGGATCCGGAGTCCACCACCGTCGCCCCCGAGAAGACAGTCGAGAATCGACTCCAAGCGCCAAACCGACGATTCTGTGAAACGCAACGTGAGTATTGAACCTCAGAGATATCGAAGAGAATGTCTTCAACGAGCGCATACAATCGTTATGGGAGCTGGTGTTTAGAGCTCGGAAGATCCCCATTATTTCTTCCCGAACATCAGATTCGCGACCCTGGAAACATCAAACCGATGATCGCTGATAAGCAGTGGATCAAGAATCTGTTGCAAGACGGTCCTCGAACACCGACTTCTCCCAGCAACGCGAACTCCTCAGGGGACGAACAGAACGCCAACAACAGGCTCCACAGCCGTATCGAGACGTTGACGGATAAACTTGTGCATATGGAGAAAGCCAATCGCCAGCTGGAACTCGATAATGAGACCCTCGGCTTCAAAGTGAGTTTCTAAAAAATCCGTCCTGATGGTTCGACGCTACGGGGATCTCGGAAACACTCCCTTTGTCCGTTGTTCGATATTCCGAACTCAATCAGATCCCGGGCGTCAGGACTCCGTTCGATGAGAAGTGGCCTCTCCATGAATTATTATCCATGTGTCTGAGACAAGGAATTCTTCCAGCTGTCAGAAGCCATGGTCCAATGTGATGAACTCGAACAACGACTTCGTCTCGCAAAGGAGCACTCGACTAGCGACAGTGAGTAGTTCAAAGGCGATTTTTCTCGAAGATATCACACGCCACCCATGCCGCGGAGAACAAACAATACATGGTCTCTCCTCCCACGGAGTTCTCTTTGAGTTCGGTCGCCGGAACATAATAGCGGAGCAGCTTCGCGTGATTCTGGGCTTCGATTCGAATCGATCGGACAAAGGAGTATTAGTTACAACACTCGCAACGAAGCAGTCTCCAAACAAATTGTGCGACCGGCCTATCGATCGTCCCGGCATCTCTTTCCCTATTGATTGGATATCGGTCTCTCTCATAAGTCGGGTGCCTAAGACACGGGGTAGTTCTGAAGAGACGCTGACCATTTTCATCCGGATTCCACGCTCGCAGAAGACCTGTCTGTGTGGCAAATGTGACTCCTCGCATTCGGCGGAATTCCCCGCATCCAACGTGTGATCTCAGTATACGCATTCTCACCGAGAGCGTATTACTTCGACGCTTGATACACCGTATACGGTTCCGAATCGTTGGCGGATAACGTTCTGAAGGCTTTCTGCCTACTGCCTTGCGTAGTATGGGAGAGGAAATCCCAATTGACGGGGGGGATACCGCTGTGGAAACATCCACGACGGTGTTCGCTGAGCTGAGAAGACGTTTATCGCTTGGAGTTCGGAACTCGAGTTGTGAGAGCCGTTGTAAGGCTCGTTCTTCAGTTGGCGGATGGGACCCCACCAATTCGGACGTGTCGATGGAGGAAGCCGGTGATTACCACGAGATCCGATTGTTCATCTGGCTTCGCGGAGCCCGAGATATGTCTTACAGTCGATACTCTATCAGGATGCCCAGAGATTGATGGTGTCACGCCAGCTATTTCTGCCTGGCTCCTGAAATGTCTCGAGCACTCCAACCAGACCAAATCCGCGGATGTAAAACCTTTTTGCTTCGATATATTTGCAGAGAGTGGTGCTGGATCTCGATCGCAGCCGGAGTCTCCCGTCAAGCAGTCATTCATGCAGACGCTCGACAACAGGATCACCTCCTCCGACGTCGGACTGATGGGGCACTGCAAGAAACTCCACAAGGAGGTCGTGTCTCTCCAGGATCAGCTGTATCAGACAAGCCAGAAACTCGAAGCGATGACCCTGAAGTATCAGGACAAGAAAATCCGACAACAGGAGAAAATTCACTCGCTGAGGTAGGTGACTGGACTCTGTTTCGACTCCGAGTTGCCTCGTAGATCAATAAATCGTGAATCCCCGCCTCAAGATGCAAAGAAGCCAACATTCATCCCATCATCAGGCTTGACCCCATATCATGTGGTTTTTCTCTGTCAGGAGAATGGTCGCCTTCCCACTGACCGGAGAGGAAAATTACCTAAATAATTCTCGCGAATTCTTTCTCACAGAGAACAGCATCGCGCTGAGATCGCAAGGCTCATCGAGAGAATCGAAGGACTGCAAACTGAAGTCAAGTCGCTCCAGGATGAGAAAAAGAATCTCTTGAAAAGGTACGTCCATCCTCTCCTGGTTTCACATTCGAGGCCTTCATTGGGCTCTTTGAACGGGACTGGCGGGACGGGAATCGCGAGGGAAATTGTACCAATGGTCGAAGTCGAGAGGATCGGAATGAATCTCATTTGCATGAAAGTCTTTGTTCCGTGTATTCATCTCTATCCTGAGACATGCTGCCACTAGAACTTTCGCCTTGCTTAGCAAATTCCACGGAGGCTCTCGAGAGCTGTCGCAAAAAAAGAAGTTGGATCCATATCAATGATGATGATTCTTCTTGCAGTCTCCTGGAACGAGAGGAGGGACTCGTGACTCGAGCGCCGGACTCGGCTCCGAAAAGCTCCGCGGACCGGCTCACCGAAACCGTCCCCACTCGGCTGTAGACAGCATGGCTATAATTCTCCATCCAGACATTTGCATTATCGACTTTCTTCGGTGACGAACACGACGGAAGGGAGATCGACGGTCCAGGAGGCCGTTGTTCCGCACAAAGCAAAATCACATCGGCTCCAGTCGGCGACGGCATATTCGATGATAGATCCAGGGAGCGGATCCCCGGGAGGCTCTCAGTCCCTCTGTCAGGAGGTCGATTCTATTCGCAGCTCAAGACTCCCTACCGGATCATGGCAAGCAGGAACGCGATATCGAATCGACCGTTGCGTGAGACGTCGAGGGAATCAAAATCTTATTGTGAATCCGCACCGATTCAGGAATTATTGCCAGCGGACCTCCTCTTAGTCAAGTGCCCGAGGCACAAGGCGTCTCCGACGCTGTGGTTCTGCCAAAAAAATGAAAAAGTCCATGTGTTCGTCCATTTTGAATGTTTGATCCCGCGTGATTCATACCGAAGCGACGACAAAGGTATGAACGATTCCAGCTGTCTTGAAGGACAGCACATTTGTCGAATCGAGTCAATCATCTCACATCGAGAGATTCCCATTGTACATACAATCAGTCGGAAGAGTCATCAACCTTAGCTTAGAGATAGGGAAGCGAAGGCGAGGTTCGCAGCGCTCGGATCATCCTTACAAAGATGCACACGTCCGCGGCTCGCCGGTTCTTCCGGCAGAAGTATCAATCGTTGTGTAATTCGCGATGCAAGGCGGACGAGAGGCTGGAACTCACCTCCCATCAAACCATTGCTGTGTTGAGTTGAATTTCGATAGATTTTCATTCATTCACACCGTCCAGAGGAGCTTCAGAAGTTCGTTCGTCGGCCCATCAAATCTGTTCCCGGGTCCGATTCTGGCCCATCTCAAGACAGAAAATGGTGGTCGCTGTGAAGCTTTTTGAGGGATGACGGAGCCAAAGGGGCGATTATGGGCCGAGCGAAGCGTTCTGAAGCGTACATCAATTCGTCCAGAGGAGTCATGGTGTTCGGCAGGATCCCACGGAGTTTTCCACGCGAATTTGTTTTCGTGATAGGGATGGAATCTCGAAGATTCCGCGACCGAACCTCGACTCCTCGACCTCTTTCGGCATCGGCAGCTGATGCGCATTATTATTTATAGGCAGGCATACACTTGCATACATCCCATGCGTCAACTCCTTCATCATCAACATTTGTTAGGGAATGTATGAACGCGCTGACATGAAGAAGCGTGCAGGAGAGTCGCTTATGTGAATTGATTGCAGCTTCATGTATTTGACTAGATACCCAATAAATGTCTCGAGGCTCCCATGGCTCATCCGAAAACTTCAATTTCTCTTGTTTTCACGAAATCAAAATGAATGATTCACGCTGCCGTCGTTCCTGGTCTTTATTGGTAACAAATAGAGAGATGGGCTCGACATCTTCCCCTCCCTCGGCTGTCGCCCTCGATTCGGGTGAACTGTCCAGGTGACCGGAGTCCCCGGATAGTGATGGGGTGGTAAAGTTGCATTCATTCATTCATTCATTCATTCGATCGAGCGCTTCCTCGAAAAAATACGAAGGAGATGTACCGAAGTCTCGAATCTTTGCCCCCCGATGACTCGAAGGGAGAACGCGAGAACTCCAGACGGAGAGTCATCCAAGAGAGATGAGATTCAATGTTCCTTGACAATAAGCGGCACAAATGAATTCCACAATTGCTTCGTACAGGAACATCACCGAACTTGCCGCGATGGGAGCGAATCCACTTCTCCCTTTCACGAGCGTATCACAGCGGCATGAGGCGCAGAGAGAAGTTGCGCCAGTCGAGGTCCGTCCTGACGCAAATACTAGCGAGCTGCACTCCTCCGGAAGAACACGCGGACTCGGACTTCAGTCAACATCCATTTCGTCTTCGATCGTCTCGTCAGCTTCCTCCATGTCGTCAATTTCCTCATCGAAAGTTGCCTCCCCTTGAGCCATTTCTATGTCGTCGACGAGCTTCAATCGCAATTTTTCGGCGGTGTTCTTCATGTCCGCCGTCAGGAAGTCCCGGATGTGAACCATGCTGCCAGATTCGCACCAGCCGTCGGTGTCGGTCCAGGTCTCGTTTCCATCGTTCCTGGCGCGCAAAAAAAACGTGTTATCAGAATAAAGGTGCATAAGGCGATCACAAACGTCTCAGAGGATGGTGGACTTTTTCGCAACTCACTTGTGTACTATCTGCTGAACGCTGTCCATCTGAATATCACATAGATGGTAAAGCAGCTGTCGCGTCGGTGGGAGCTTCCCCGACACGAAACGGCAGCGTAACACCCGCGCCTCTTCGTCGCTTTCCTTCTTCCGCTTTGAGCTCGTTGAGGATTTGGAGTTACTCGGAGCGATCTGCGCCGGTACCACGTGACTCGCGGCAGATTTCTGAACACCGGTGCAAGCTTTGACCCGACAGTCTAGGGTTTGGTAGATTTTCGCCGAGGGTTCCTTCCGGGGATCGAATCCGTAACGGATCTGCGTGAACAATCTTATTGTCAGGTGTCGTTAGGGGTGAAATGTAAAAGCCGACACGGTGGATATAGTCGGGTTTGGCGTAGCGTTCAGGGAACTCACGTAACATAGACGGTAAGGGCCTTGGCTTACACAGTAAGCGCAGCCCACAATCGCGATTTTCAAGACCGATCGATTCACTTTCAGCTCATTGGCGAGCGCGCTCTTGGTCCATATGGGTCTACGCTCGAAAGCATCTTCCACCAGTTTCCGGAGGTCTTTGTCTACGCTCCTAAGCTGCTCGATCGCTCCGGCTTGCGCCATCGCCGGAGTCGGATCTCCGTTCGGTGGAGCTAGAACCCTGACCAATGTCGCGAATATCGTTCGGGATCTCCTCAGGACAGGTTTGCCCGTTTCATCAGTCCGTCGAGCCCTTATGTCGGACGTGTGACGATAAGGGCCCGTGAACGGAGTGTCCAATCGAGTGAATACCTTCGATGGAATGCGTGATTAGAGGGAACGGATTTTAAGCTCTTAGCTCCTCATCGAAGAGCTCGTCGGTCGTAGCTCAATCGGAGAAGCTCTCTCTGGAAGGATAATCGTTCAACCGACCTGGGGTACGAGATAGAGGTGGTCCGCGGGGGTGTTGACGAACGTTTGTATGTCTTCGTCAACTCCCTGATACCGGATTTTATCTCTGATGTCTTTGCCTTCTTGCGCGGGGAGAAATTGGAAATCCGTCATTCCTTCAAACTCATACACGTGACGAACTGAGCCCAAGACCTCACTACGACACACAATCTCTCCTGTGCGTTTGTTTCGATACTTCTTCACACTGACCCAGAAAGCTATCACGTCTTTGTGCGATCCGAAAACTCCCTTTGAACAGCAATCGCCTTCTGCAATGAAATACATACAGATTGTGAGATCGTTCGTGCTCGCTCCGACATTCGAGATACGCATCCGTGGCGCGGGGGTAATCAAAGCCCGGGATGGCAGTACGAGACTGAAATCGTTCCCGACTAAGTACCTGTTCGGAAATTCAGCTGCATCCTCATGTTGTCCATGTTGAAGGTATGCTCGACTTGTTTCAGCCCACCCAACATTTTCATGGCTTTCTCCTCCGACCCGTTCCGCACGAAACAGGGATGCTTGATGACTAGGTACTCCTCCATGATGAGCAATGTTAATGCTTACTCCGAAAAATCGATGAAGATACTTTAACCTGTAGTCAGACGGTCCATTTTCATTCTTGGAGACACGGGAAGCTCCGCGTTCGAATTGGCGCGAGAGCACATGTTCCCCTCCCCCCTCGTCTTGTTTGTATACACGGAGCTCTTCCATCTTCGAGTCGCTAACGTAATCCCTGCTGAACTTCCGATTCGACATTGGGGGTCTAAAGCTCCTTCGATCTTGAAGAGACCCGCGTACGATGGGGGGACCATCCGATCGCAAGAACATAGATGAATCGGGAACCGACAAATGGCGATCAGCGCGGTAAAATCTTGCACCACCGCGACCTGTTGGAGAGAGTGGACTGAGCGGTGTTGATGATCTCTACTGAACGCTTGACAGAGCTCGAAAGGGCCCCTTATTCTTCTTAATATAAAGCCCGCTTGATGTCCTTCACGGACCGCGCGGGTAATCGCAAGTAGCCGCACGCGATCAGACCGAATTACGCAGGACGAGGGGGGAGCCGACTCCTGACAACCGCCATGGGACAGTCGAGCCGTAAGTTTACGTGGTACACGGCTTTGCGGATTGGTAGATTCAGCGAGCAAATCATAGCGCTGCTCTGCGCGCCCACCTGAGATGGAGCTCCCTGTCTCTCTTATCCTGCTTGAGCGAAATTTTCCCTCCGCGGATACCAGCATCGTTTCCTCATTTCGCGGTCCATGAAATCTGCGGAAGGCCTCCAGAGCCTGGAGGAAGCACCCAGAGCTGCCGGTGACGGGACAGCCGTCGTATCAGCGAAGCGAATCCTAAGTGTATGATCGCGGAACGCTGCACGACACAGCCGGAGACTCACCGCTCGGAAGCGACAAGAAAAACACGAGGAATGTGGTGCTTCTCCAAAGTCAGTGAGCCGCCCCTCATTCAAATACCAGGTATTTCGAGGTTCCCAGCGATTGACTGGAGTGATGATCGCTGCCGACTGTCGATCCCTCTGTGAGGAGCAGAAATTTTCTCCAAGACTTCTTTTAACCCGACGAGTCGCACGAGCGCGAATCACGCTACAAGGCGGTGATCTCGGGAAACTCAATATGTCCATCTGTTTCATCGGACGATGTTTATGCTTGTGTATACAAAAGAGAAGATATGCGCGGCGTCGGTTGGAGAGCCTCCACATGTGCCCCTACAATGGGGAGTCAGATGTGCAGGCTTCGGCGGGCTCGATCACGAGAAGGGCCGTAAAGTCGCGAAAATTCGCCGCGGAAGGTCCGGACCGGGAAAGGAGTTTCGGACCCTTAGACTTATAGACTTCGCTTACCAACGGTAGCGAAAACCCCACAAAAGCACGTTTTTTCCCCTCGCCCCTTGTGAGAGCTTGTTCACGCAATCCGAGCGCATCAGTCATGATCAGCTGCAATTTTTTCAGTGGCAGCGCCGGTGCGTTTTGCCCCAACTATTGCGTCCAATGGGCGAGTCTTCGTGAGCCGCTATCTCAACCCAGTCAAGAAGCTTGCTCCTTTCCCATCGCTGGTCTGTCAGTTACTGGGTCAAGAAGAGGCGCGTTTCGGTTTTCAGTGGAGCTGTGAGCCGCTCTGGCAGACGGAGTCGAAGTCAAACTTACGGTGCGGCTGGCACGGCTTGGATATCTTGAGGTCTCTGGTGAATGAGGCTGTCTCGGGAGAGCTCCCGACGGGAAAGATGGCCAACGATTCGGAAACAAACCGTGAGTACCGTTCGATGTGCCTGATATTTTCCCTTAGTTTGATCAATTAGCCCCCTCAACATGAGCCTTGGGTTCGGCTTTTCTCGGAAACTAGATCAATCAGTTTTTGCGAGAGCATTCAGATCGCAGTCCTCGGCGACATACACCACTGGCTCCATTGAGTGTTTTCTTTCTGGAAACGAACTGAAACCTTGACTGAGACCGGAAGCGGATCCTTTGCGACGAAAATTGGCATGAGGAAGTAGCGAAAGTTTCGGAAGCCGTTGACCCGCTGACCATTTCCTCCGCACAGGACTTCTCGCTTCGTCTCGCCCTTGTTTCTCGTCAATCTGCCCGTTTGTTTCGAGATGGTTCTCTGGTCGAGGATAAGTCGAAGCCTTGGCGACCTCCTCTGGTCTATAGGTCAAGATAGATGTTTTCGCTCCCAAAGGCTTTGCTCGGCTGATTGAATGCGATCTTTTTGATCTCAATTCAGGGAGGGGGTGGTATCGGAGTAAACACTCAACTCAAATCGCGACGATTGCCATTCGGGAGCGTTTAGTGGGTAGACACTTCAAAGTTAGGAACCGATCTCGCAAGTTTCTAGACGAAGATCAGCGGGAAAAACTTCTTCACGCATTCAGCCATCTGAGACGGGCAGCAGCGCTGAAAAATATTAAGTCCATGGTGTGATCGTTTTCCCGAGTCGATGAACGATCCGCGGAGAAGCGTTCTCAGAATAACGGACCATTCAGCGCAAGATGGGTGGTGTCGTTCGGAACTCCTCGTTATGCGGACGTCGAGTCACAGAAACTTGTTGAGGAATTCCGGTCAGTCGCAGTCCAGGGCGTCGGTACATCGTATTCGCCGTTCGAGTCAGTTACGAAAGCGATTGCGCCGGATGAAAATCATAAAATTGATCGATCCCTTGCAGTGTCCGATTCCACGGAAGCATCAGACCGAGCCAAGCGGTGTCAAGCTTTAGCAAACGAGAGCGACGAGGAAGTTCAAGGCCACTTGCCCGAAAAAGAAGAGGCCGCGAGCGAGAAAACGTTCTCACCATCTGGGACGCCATCCCCTTTACTCGATTTCGACAAGGAAACCGATGAGGACTACATATTTCCGGTTCGTATACGCACCATTCAACGGAAAAATCCTCTGCTGAATCCACCCCATTTGAGCACCTCCAATCAGGCGGTCGAGCGTCACACCGTGCGCGGATCGCACGTCAACAGATGACCTCAAGCACTTTTTTTCCCAGGAACCCATGGACCCCGTGGTTGACGACGATGAGCTGGTAGATCTCTTGATCGAACAAGCCACCCTACTGAGTAGAACCATCTTCCGTTATTTGATGGTTATGCCCTGACCGGAGGAGGAGATCGAAGTCTTCTTTGGACGCACCCCCGAGTCCGGATCCCGCCCATCCAAGGAGAGGGCCGTTCTGGAGCTAATTTTTGACGACATCTGTTGACGATATTTGAAACTGTACAGAGAGCACGAGGTTGATTGTGATATTGAGTATATATACGATTGAACATAGGAATGTATACCAATAAATCGAAGTGGATGTCCGTGATTCAATACACTCGGCCCTCTCCAATTCCAGATGTCTAGTGACTACTCCGAAATTCGCTTCCGTAGGGTGCTACTTCGGTATCCGCGGCTCAGGAACGGCGAGCCGTCGGCCCGCCCTCTTTGAGAGCGATGGGTAGGCTTGCACAGAAATACGGCGCTCATCTATCATTTCCCGGCTGAATCATCGCGATGTCGCAGATCGCAATCTCCCCCAATCCCTCGCAAATGTCGAATCACTGTGCTCCACTCATGTTGAACGCTGCAATACCACACATGAGACACTTCGGCTGGCAGTCATCCAGCAGCCTCGTCTAGTTTCACGCTCGGCAACAGCTGCTTTCAGCTCAACTCCTTCGAAAAGCACAGCTCCTCCCAAGGCTCGCACGCTTTGACTGAAACGCTTCGAATTTTCACGCAAAATATAATAACACGGCTTCAGCTAATCATGAATCATGGAGGAGCCGGGGGCAGACCTAATTTTCGTTCAGCTCCATCCTGCAAAACCAACGTGATTACGCACATGGGGTGTGCATAACCTTCTCAGTCAGCATTCGTCCGTCCAGTCCTCGGCAAATACTCAAGTGGTGTCATTGAGCACGATCGATGATTGACCCCTTGAGAACTCAGGAGAAGGAGAAGCCAGTCGGAGCTCTCGTCCGCCTAGCGGAGAGCAGTGCCTCCTGCGTCATGGAGTCTCCGGATAGGAATTACTGACCTAGGCGAAAACATGAAGATCTCCAGAGCCGCCCGTTCCGCGAGCTCCACGCCGTAGGGGGCACCAGAGGAGAAAAGACTGCGGACCGTGTATTCAGTGCTCAGGAAAGTCTCCGCTGGAGTCATTCCCCTGCATCCGCCCTGCTGCCGGGATATGAACAACTAGGTACAAAGTTGAATGCAGGGAAAGTCGAAGGGGGTGCCCGCGCCCTCTCCTTGCTCAGACTGTCAACGAGGATCATCGTCATCATCGACTCCGCTCTCCCATCTGCAGATCACCCTTTTGCTCAAGTTTGCCCCTCGTCCTCCGCACTCGGGTTTCCCCATGGGTCTGTCAATCGCTCGATTGTCCGACATCCTGAGCGCCTTCGGAGGTTGAATCGGTCCATAATGTAGCATCCGCCGTTTTCGAAGGTTCAACCGATAGCTGCGGTTCGCCAGCTAGCTAGCTGTCAGTTGTTCGCGACGACAGTAGGAAGTGACCGACTGCCGATGAGCAATCGCAGCGCCGCCACATAGGAAGCACCATCTCTCTCTACTCTCTCATCATCACAAAATACCGCAGCACACCACGAACAGCATTCGGGACGCAAGAGAAGCCACGGAAAGCAGCGGCGATCTGGTTGCGTGTCCAGCGTGACGTTTCCACAAGTTCGTGTTGAAGTGTCCACCCGACGACGAAGCGGTTCTCCATCAGCCCGACAGCATGGCTCGTGGACAGCAGAAGATCCAGTCCCAGCAGAAAAATCAAAAGAAGCAAGATGCTCTTCGAAGAGCAGGAATTGATCAGAAGGCGGCCGCAATGAAGGCTCTGGTCCATACTTGCAGCGTTTGCAAGTCGCAGATGCCCGATCCTAAGACCTACAAGCAGCACTTCGAATCGAAACATCCGAAAGCCACGATGCCCGAAGAACTTCACGACGTGCAGGCATGAGCCTGTCCTCTGCTATTCTTCGCTGGAAAATACTTCGATGACTACAACGGACGTGGGAGCCACACAAAATCAATAATTGAAAGTTCGCGACTAGAATTCTGGCGGTTCACCGAGATGGACCGGACGTCGATATCGTTCGAGGATCGATTGCAGAGTGCACTTGGATGGAACGGCGAGTAGGGAGGAGGAAAGCTCACCTTGGAGGGTGGGAGTTGATATCCCCGTCATCATTATCCTGAAGGAATGATCTTATGGATATATACATACAAATATATATATATAAGTTGGAAGTTGTCTGTCGCGAGCGAAGCACAAAATCACCACGATGTAACCGACGGTTCGTGAATCGCCGGGTCGAGTCGAATACTCGTCTAATCGGACGAGGAGCGAGATACTTTTTTTGAAGTGAAAATAAATTCCTCCAATGGAAATTTTCCCCTGTAGTTTCCGAGAAACAAATCTCGATAGCCCGGGTCGCGACTTGGAATGTCGATCCCTGATCAGACCATTGAAATTTCCCCGGAGTCCTACGCCGCAAACTGCGGGAGTCGGCTTTGTTCACAAATGTCTTCCGACTTCACGTTTATAGCGATCAAGCCATCGGCCGACCCGGAACTACAATCCCGTTACCGCAAGAGGTGCGCAACCCTTCATTCTTTGAACATTCGGAAAAATACGCGGGATTTTCTTCTTCAATCTGGAGTCAGCTCATTGATTTCGCGTTAGCTAGCCCTTTCGTATCGCCAATGAAGACGTCGAAGGAAATATTGTCGAAATTTGAGTCTGCGATTGGTGGGTGGCTCACCGTCCATCGCACCCGCGAGTCGCGAGGTTGCGGTGGTGGCAGTTGCGATTGTTGCCGTAACTTCCGTGTTTCGCGGACAGACGCTTTCGCTTTCAACGGTCTTTTGACAGCTGCCGACACGGAGGTGCTCCCCGTGACCGCGCTCGTCGCCGTGATCGTCAGGGCGCGCTCGTCGCCGTGATCGTCAGGGCGCGCTCGGAGCCTCGCAGTTCGATGAGCTTTGAGGAGAAGTACTGCAATCGTTCACAGGTCGGAGAAGATATCTGCGAGAATCGAGAACTCTTCCCGTGAGTGCTACGGGGGTTGGATTCAATCGCCTACATCAGTCGAGAGACTGATGAGGTTAAGGTTCCAGAACGCTCGTCCTTGTGCGAATTCCAGCGCAAGCGCGGGTAGTCGGAGAGCAAAGCAGAAGATTGCTCCATTAATTCGAGTCCGGCCAGCTGGCAAAGCTCTTATGACGCGAAGTCTGGAGGTGGATTTCTCGTTCAATGTTTCTGCATAAGAATAGAGATTTCGGGAACTTGACTCCTGACACGGGGGAGCGGAACGACTGTGCGGTCAAAGCATGCTGCCAATAATTAACCGAAGACCTCCGGAGGTGCCTCTTCGAGCAAGACGCACGGCTAGAAGTTGAAACCGAGTCGCTATTTGCAGAGAGCGCTGCCCGATCATGGATATCCGCGCACCGATACAGCCGGCAACTGGAGTTTTTCTTGACGAAATCGGCGTCCGGCATGACTAATTGCAAACGAGCTGAAAGATTTCCAAACGAATAAGGCACATGAACCCTGGGAGCTCTCCGGAGACGAACTTGTTGGTTCTCCCAACTCTCCGGCACGCAGCTTTCTCCTTTCGTTTCTGGAGGCGACTCGATGCTCTCAAGACTGCGGGGGATCGGCTCGTCGCCTTCTCTCCCGAATCGTACCCATCGATTTTTCATCTCCTGATCAGATTTTCTAGCGGGACCTTTCTCTCGATCTATTGATCTTCATCTTTCGCCTGGATCAGGAAAAGACTCTGGATTGACAAGACTCCAGGTGGCATTAATCATCAAGAATCGAGCTGCTGTTCCCGGACGATTTCTCTCGGCCTCCAATTTCTCGCAGTGGGAGAACTCCGCTCCGAACTGGATCCGACAAAACCTTTTCAAGTTCCTCCTGCATCCTAGACATCCGCAAAACAGCCTTACGTGTATCAAAGGTCCAGCCGCACTCTCCCCCTCTTACCTTTCCGCTATCAGCTGCTCCCGGCTGTTCTTGTCTCGCGTGTGTCGGCACCGTATTCCAAACACCGGTCAACAAGTCATTGCCGTGGAGAGGAAACAGCTTTGAGATTGACAGCGTGTTCCCGTAGTTTCGGTGTGGCAGCGAATTCAAGTCGGGAATTCCCGCCACAAGAGCTCAAGCATGTTTCGTGTTAGTCGCGCGACTTCGCGTCTCACGCGAGTTTTCAACCATCCGCGGCGGACAGCTGTAGCCATGGCAGGTGTCGCTGCCTCCACTGCAACCGTCACTTTTATCTACAGAAGCTTCAGCTCATCGAGTGTACGCTTGAAGGGTGAGAGATCTTGGTGTCGTTTCGGAAGCAGATTCGGGCGCTCACATTCCCGAGACTTCAGGCTGAAATCCGTATTCAAGGTATCATCGACGTAAACGACTTCATGGCTCAACCCATAACTCCGATGAAGCACCTGGAGAAGACGTGAGAACTCGAAATGACTCTATCACCCTTTCTCGATCGCCACCAGGAGGCTCCTCGAGTTCATTGTATCTTCCTTGCAGAATGGACAGCATTCCAACCCGAATGGAACTCATGATCTTGGATGCCCAGGCTAAACTGATCAGAAGTCTCCAGGAGGTCGAAGCCGAACATTCGAATACAAAATTCAGGGTTCGTAGCCTCTCGTCTCGCCTCCGGACTTTGCTATCGAGACAGGATCACCCGCATTACCGACTGTATCCCAACTCATAGGTCGACCGATGGGAGCGCGCAGAGGGTGGCGGGGGCATCGCTTGTGTCCTCCAAGATGGTCAAGTCTTCGAGAAAGCTGGGGTCAATATCTCCGTCGTGGAAGGTGACCTGACGAAAGGTGCCCTGCAACACATGAAATCTCGCGGAAGAGATTTCGGCGAAGGTCCTCACCGGTTCAAGGCGATGGGTAGGTGGTCGGTTGTTCCTCATTCGGAACGGCGTCTTAGGATGGAACTACAGAGGCCGAATTCGGAACCAAGGAGCTTACTCCATTGGCAGGAATATCATCCGTGATTCATCCCCGAAACCCCAATGTGCCAACTCTGCATTTCAACTATCGTTACTTCGAGGTTGTGAACGGAAGAGGAGACGTGACGTGGTGGTTCGGTGGAGGCTCGGACTTGACACCGTACTATTTGGACAAGTGAGAATTCCATGTCAGGATCTATCGGCCAGGCGGCAGCGATTCTGATTTCCGTTATCTCCATCGTCCGTCGACTTTATTGAACCGACTCTTTCTATTTATAGGGACGATGTCCGCCATTTCCATCAGACTCTGAAGAATGCGTGCGATCGACACAATCCGCAGTACTACCCGAGATTCAAGAAATGGTACCCCTCTGAGGACTCCCCTCGGTGCCGTGTAGATTCTGTGAAATTAGCTCGCAGATTTTCGGAATGCTGAATCCGAGATTTTCCAGGTGTGATGAGTATTTCTTCATAACGCACCGAGGTTTCTCGAGAGGTGTCGGCGGAATATTTTTCGACGATTTGGACGACAAGTGGGTGATTCTACAATCTACAAGAACCCGAAATTCCACATTGATTCTGATCGTCACATGCTCTCGGAGAATCGAACGAATGATACATCTCTTGGAAGGAGCGCTCAAATAATCCGCAATATCTCCTCAGGAAAGCCGAAACGATGTTGAAATTCGTCACCGAATGCGCCAGCTCTGTTATACCATCGTACGTTCCACTCGTCAAGAAGAACAAGGATCGCGGTTACGGCTACAAGTACGTGAATATTGAATGAGTAGAATACATGAATGGGAGCAGTTCATCATCCGCGAGTTTCCCTGGATGACCCGAGGCGAGGACAAGACCGTGGATGTTTTTTCCAGGGAGCGTGACTGGCAACTGATCCGGAGGGGTCACTACGCTGAGTTCAATCTCGTGCACGATCGAGGTACAAAATTTGGTCTCTCCACGCCTGGCGGACGGTGAGTTGTTGGGACGAAAACAGGGCGTTGAATCGCGAATATCACCTGGGATGACCGGTGGACAACAGGCGGTCTAAAATTCACTCTGTCACAGGATTGAAGCGATCTTGATGTCGCTCCCACTCAACGCGCGCTGGGTTTATGAGCATCAGCCCGAGCCCGGCAGCGAAGAAGCAGCCTTATTAGAGGTCTTGCTCAAGCCCAAGGATTGGGTCTGATCTGCTCAGCTGAGCCAAGCCTCACAAGGAACGAGAACTGAGATGGATATAGTATTCCTGGGACTAAGTAAGAAGGTACAGCGCTTCCCGCTTAACAACGAATTCCCTTGAGGAGCTCAGATCCTAGCTTCCACTCGCGGGATTCCCAGGCAGACTCTGAGGGGTCGTGTGGGGTCGGGCAAGCTCAGACATCCGCGTTGCGAGCGCGGCGCGCGGATCATCATGCGAATGCAATTCTGAGATTTTTCGCAAGATACGCATCGAACATGCGTGAATAAAGATTATTTTAGTCTAATTGGAGGCTCGTTCCTGCTGCTTTATGTGCGTCACCGGTTTAGCCAAAGAGTTCGAGAATTCGATCCGTGGTCAGAGAATCGGTCAGTCATCGAGGTATCGAGCACGAGAGTTTCCCCATCCTTAAGAGTTGGCCGTGGGGGTCCATTTCCGAGGCTCTCGTCGAAAAGTCGATCTCCTATCCATAGGTCACTCGAAACCGACCCGGGCCGCGGAACTCCGCCGCGCGATGACGCCACGACCGATTGGACTTCGAACGGGCTCATGAACGACCGCAGAGGTATCTGTTCCTCCTGGCCGTAGATAATATCAGAGAGCCGATGGTCGAGGCGGAGAGTCTTTCCTCGGATGCAATCCGAAGTCTTGAGGGCTTGTCCAAAGGTTTTTCATGTGTCCCTTCTGCCTGCCATGCCAATGCTACTTCCGTGCGCGCCATGAGCATCACCTTAATCTCCCGCGCCAGACGGGGTAGAACTCTATCAGGGTTAGCCGTCACCGACCAGAGACCCCCTTGCTCGCCGACTAACCCCACCACAGAAATCATGCAGAAAATAAGTTCGGGGTGTTTGCGACGAGAAACTCGTCGTCATGGGCAGTGAGTACGCGTACTAGAACAGGCGTGATCAGGGATCACATATGAATATCTTGTTCCATGTGTGCGCGATTGTATCCTCCGAAGACAGCGACAGAATTTACGCTAGCTCGACATCAATGTGTTGCCCCTGATCGCTCGATCTGCTGTTCGGAAAGGCACGGAGGGCGCGAGCGTTAATTCAATTTTTTATTTTCATCATTCGACATCGATATGAATTCGAATCCACTACAAGGACAGAATTGAGAAACAGACTTTCCACACAGGGATGGAATCAAGGGATGGAGTTTCCATACAGTACGGGAAAATATTGCAGTCGACTTGAAATTTTCGCAGACCTTCCTTTGGCGTGTAGAACCACCAAGTGATCGAGAACACGAGTCGTAGTTTGAGCGGCTACGGACTGAATGAATTTATTGCTTCGTCGTCTTCGCGTAATAATATGGAAATGTGCGGCGCCCGCCACACACCTCCCCCCCAGTGTTGCCGTGCCAACACGTGTCAAACTTCGTAGTCCTGAAGATGTCTTGGCGGACGCGATACTCGTTCCGAACGTCTGACAAAAATCCCCGGGGTGCCCGAGTCAGGGACTCAGGCGGTATGTGGGCGTAGAACTACGTGAACACGGAACACGTAGTTCCGTGAGTTCGAAGATCTACGAAAGATTTTCAATACTACCCTCCGGTCGACGAAGGGTATCACGAGATTTCCTCTGGCCGTTGTTCAAAAGGCGCTTTTTTAGTTTGAGGAAAACGAGATCAAAGAACTCAACTGCGGGGACGGGATTCGGTCGGTAGCAACCTTCGAAGACTTCGGCAAATTCTCTTAACTCAGAAATGTTGACGAATGACATCAAAATCTACTTATTACTCAACCGACAAACTTCAATCGGATATACATACGTTCCGATATCTGCTCCGAGTGCGGCGTCGTTTTCCGCTTGGCAACCTGCAATTCGGAC